GTAGAGAGGAGGAYGTCTGGTTTGGGGGCCTCTGGGTCTCATGGCTGCTTTATGCAGATGATGTAGTTCTATTGCTGTCTTTGGACCAAGACCTTTGGTGTGCATTGAGGCAGTTTGAAGCAGAGTGTGAATCGTGTTGGGATTAAGAGTCAGTTGCTCCAAGTCTGGGGCCTTGGTTCTCACATGGAAATGGGTGGAATACCCCTTCCAGGTTGGGGGTTATTCTTTGCCTCAGATGGAGGAGTTTAAATATCTGAGCATCTTGTTTTAGTGATGGCAGGTTGGAGTGGGAGATGGCTTGATGAATTGGGGCCTCTTCCTCTGTAACAAGGGCGTTGCTTCAGCCAGCTGTGGTGCAGAAAGCTGACTCATAACTTGCCGGAGAGATTGTGAATCTCCTCTGGCCTGGGAAAGCCTCAAGGCTCCCCAGGTTTAGCTGTAAAGTGTTTCTGGGGAGAGGAATGTCTGGTTTTCTTTCCTGGACCTGTTGCTTTTGTGATCTGACAATGGATAAGCAGTAGAAGATGGAAGAAGAGATAGGATRTCTGGGGCATTTCAGTTGATTTTTTTCTTACTTTTGCATCCAAAAAGAGCACAATCGTAGTGTCACTTTCCTTCAGTTTTACATTTAACATAGGTCAGTGTTGTTTGTGAACAGAAAAGTGGACTTAATTTTAACATTACAAACAAGAATAGTTTGACATTTTAGTGGGCACAGTTAAAGGTCATCAATTTCTTTGCTGCAGTGTGTTGCTGAGTTATACAATACTTAAACTGTGTTTGTTCACTTACTCACTCTACAGTATAGTCCATAATTTTGTGAGCCAGTCAGCAGAAACTTTGTAGTTTGGTTCAAAATTTTACCTGCTACTTTTCGATTAACTGTTCAATGCCCCTAAAAAATGGTCACAATGTACAGTAAAAGTAGTGTACAGAAGTTGTACACAATATCAATAAAAATAGACCATAATGCATTGCAGCCTAAGCCAAACACATATGAATAATCAATGCTAATGCTAATGTCCACAACTCATTATTGTGATTTTTAGACTTGTTGAGAATGCCAATACTTATCTAGACATATCTAATATAAAGTGCCGTGTCGACTCGACTTGTCTGACCTACAGAAATTACTAAAAAAATGTGTTCTGATCCTTTAGTTAAAATATTTGTTGAGACTTAATATGAAACATGTTAAAGAAATGTTACAAAGTACAACATAAACAAGCTGCACATCAAGACTTTTAATGCCGCCTCCTGTTTTTTTCTAATTTGCGCACATACTACAGCTCTACAAAACAGTTCTAATGTTGGTAATATCAATGAAGGTTGTGATTTAATGGCACCTTGTGTCAAATAGGCAAAACCAAAAAGTGCAGCAATTATGTGTAAATAATTTTAATGTCAGTGGAGACAGATGATGTTAATTACATTTTCTCAGCCTAAACCACTGAAAATGATGCTGTCCATCATCTCACATTCAGAAATGTATTCCAGTGTATCTTGGTAGCATTTATGCAACACCTGACTGGATAATTGGTACATAATTATGAGTTCTGCAGCATTCAAGTAGAGTTAAAAATACAAAAACGCTTGGTTGTCTTCTGTCACGGATTTAGTCGATTTAGTGAACGAGTGACTTCCTGTTGATAATTAAGAATAGAAAAACTAGTTAGGCTGTTAGCTACATGTCTATATGTAGCTAAACAAATTGTTTACATAGGAGCGCATAAATAAAATTGGACAAAAAAATGACCTGACTGTGCAACCCGTGCTGAAACTAAAAGGTGCCGTTTCTACACTTTCGTACCAATGAGTTCAAGATACAATTTGTGATTAGTTGGCCCTAGAGGAAGTCATGGTTGGCAGATTTTTGCCCCTGCATGTTGTAACTCTCTGGTCTCTGTCACGGAGCTGAAAGRAGCCAAACGACTTCAGTTTTACATTTAACATACGTGGAAGTGTTGAGAGTGTTATCATCAAAACTGTCTCCTGATAAGAAAGTAATTTCTTGAGGATATACTTTTAATCCACTCTTGAGAACACCTGCAAATTGCTTTCGAAAAACCTTTTAGTGTCATCTCTGGATCGTGTCGTCTGAAAATATTTCCAGTCTYGGTGAAAACTGGAGAAAGTTCCTATACCATCGAGTGTTTCTCGCACAAGTAACTTTCATTCTTCTAAACAATCGAAGAATTATATTTATATTACCTAATGGCGCACAGGTTTAGTTAATTCAATTGTTTTCTTTTTCCACATGTAAACTAAACATTAAAAAAAATAAATAATCTGAAATCAGCTTTTCAAATGTTTGCCCTAAGGGTGTGCATGCTGCGTTCACTGACATCTCCCCAGTTAAAATGAAAACTACACTGTGTTATAAACATATTGTTTATGTTTTGTGTTCAGCGTTTGTTTCCCCACCAACAGTTTCCAGCCAAGTGGAACCATCTCCCCACAAATTTAGGGAAGGTGGAAGACAAGCTCTTAATCGCCTGTGTTATTGAATTATTGAATTAAAAGCTTAAGTACTCCGGGTGAGCATGTCAATTTTTCACAACTGAATGGTACAGTGCTCATTTCATTTTCATCTGAATAGATCATTTGTGTATGTAAAATGTAGAAGAATGGAGGTATTACACAGATCGGTTTCATTGTCTGTAATTCCTTTTTACTGTGACTGTAATCATTCTGAAAGACAAGTCATATTCATCCAACAGCCCGTGCTAGTCCTTAATCTGCGTTCAGATCCCCCTCAACAACATTGCGCTTTTTTGTCAAGCAGCTGTACTGTATAGCACAGTACTAATTAAGTGGGGCTTGCTTCAAAGGACATTTTGCATAATTATGGTAGAAGTAGAAGTTTAACCTGTTTTATACCCTAAGTGATGTGAGTGTAAATAGGAGGAGTAAGTGTTGCAGCAAATGGTTCAACCCCCTTCTACTTGACATTCTGCTCACCTGTCTTCATCCCCCCATGTTCAGAAACCCGGGGACTGATACAGATAAAATGATGCGATGTTTCTGTCTGTATTTCAATGGGATGCGATGCTGTGACCCACGCAATCTCCCTCTCAAAGAGTATTTCAACTTATGCAGATGAGCTCATCAGAGCTGCCTGCTGAGATGAGACATCTAGGTCTGGAATTGTGTCAATACCAGCACCAAAACAAATGCAAATCAAAATCCAAATTAATGTGTTTTCCCCGAGGAGAAACGGGAGTYGTACTTATAGTGAGTCTCTCAGTAGATGACAGGATTCTGTTATCCGGAGCTCATGAAAAACAAGGCATYCTCAAACTGCTCACTGTGCCAGCGTACAAAAGTCAGTCTCTCCAGTTGGAGAAACTAAACTAAGCGAAATAGAAACAGGAGGCTTTTGTGAGATTGTTTCACAGATACGAAATGGAAAACATCCCAGAATTCCCTGTATCCCCCAGTTTAGTAATCTAGCTCTCCAGATAGATGTGTTTTCTTCAACATATCATATACACAAGCAGATGTAGAGAATATTTGCTGCTTCCAAATCATATTACTCCGGTCACAGCCGTGTTTATGTCCCTGCATGAATAATTGGCAGCCATGCTTGGATAGCAGGTTCTGTTTGGATAAAAATGAGCAGTTTGGGTTGTTCTAATGTGCCTGCAGACCATAACCTGTCTGTCACCACACCTACCTTATCTGCATTTGATTGAATGGTAAATAGTGCACAGTGCATACAAACAGCAAATTTGCACTCTCACAAATCTAATGAGGCTGCCTTGGAATGACGGACATTTTTAGAAATAAGTCAGTCTTTCAAAACCTTTCCGAGGAGGCTTTTATTTTAATTCTTCCCTTTTTTTTTCATTGCATACACTTGCCACAACCTTTAATGCACTATTTGTTCAATTCTTTGCTGCAGCATTGACCTACTTTTCCCCACAGGGATCATTAAAATTTAATTTTATCTAATCAAAGGATTCATTGCAAAAGACCTTGCTTGTAACCTGTATGCGCAGCTGAAGTTAGACTCGAGTGTCACCGTTTGTCAGACACGTTTATGTTTGAGCAAACCTTGTAGATCTTTTCTGACGGCAGTTGTGACGACAGTTGAATTTGAAAATAGCACAAGCGTATCCATTGAAGTGATGCGCACTTTTAAGGAAAACACAGAGCAGAGGAACTTCTCTTCAGTTGGTTGCACTAATCCACAGTGCCTGTTTTTATTTGACCATCTTAAATATAAATAGCTGTGTAAAATGGTGATTGGTATGGCCCTTAGGAGTAGCTCTAAGACACTAATAAATAACGTGCTGGCACACAGTGAACAGCTAAAGTTGGCACATTTGTAGAATCACTAGTGCTATCTGTCGTCAACACTTRAAAGCACCTTTAAGACATGAATGCAATTCTGTCACATACAACATGACAGCTTCAGAAGTTGTCACCCATCAAAAATAAATGCCTTTCAGGCGCACAGTGTATACAAATTTAATAAAGTACACAACAAGTACAGTAGCCCACATTACGTGTAAGCACAGCTTATTTTTCACATAAACTGCAGAGAAGACAACAATAAAATACAAATACATTCTTAAAAAATGTAGTTTTTTTATAGGAACTTTAAATGGTTTTATGAAAAGGGACATTCCCTGTTGCACCACCATTAACAGTTCATAAGACACTTCACTTTTGAATGTAACGTCACTGATATGTATTTCGGTTCCTCGCGATATTCAAAGAAATGGTCCTTACACACTAAATGGAGACAGAGAGCTTCACCGTACAAAAGCAGACAGGACTCGTAGCGCAACAGTAGCAATTTGTTCAATAGCCTCACAAAATTGGAGTCTGAAATGTGTAAAATACAGACATCTAAATTGACAGGTACAGTACACCATGAAAACACTTGAAGTCAGGTAAGCACTGATCCCCTCCCCTGTCC